TCAACTACAAATACCACCATCTAGTTGCACATACAAGTACCACCGTTGCTCGCACATACCCACTCTAGATTGAGTATGTGCCACTGGTAGCTATATACATCACCACCAACAAACCCCATTGAATGTACAGACCCACACCCTAAAGAGCTTCGCCCCAAAGAACGGAAAGGAAGAGACGGGCACCGTCTCAGTACTGCACTGCGCTAGCATCCGCAAACGCCCGCATTTTGTACTCAGTCCAGTTACTCGAACAACCGCAACAACGCCTTCAGTGCGGTTCATGTCGAAGACCATCTAGGCGAGGGCTCCGGAATTTTCTTCTTTTTAGAAGGGCAGTTTTCCAGCTGGCATAGTGCAGCTGAGAGCGTGCCTCTCACACTAACGATTTTCACAAACTTGGCCCACCAGCATAAAAAACAGCTAAGGCAATGACCCCCGCACCACTACAAACTTAACCGGGCTGTCACAAATATATGCTGAGGCCTGGTTCGCTTGTCGGGCGTTGCGAAATGAACCATAGAGGCTGATGGTACCAAACGAAAACTATCACTTCATTACCATGACAATCACAAAGACAAAACAACAACACTAACATGCACACGTTGAAAAACACAGAAAAGGAGATGTCTTAATGACGCGCGTTTCAACGTCTGATTCCGTTGGCGTTTTCTAAGTCTCGCGCTTACAGTTGTGGCGTGGCCTCTGGTCCGCTGGGAGTCCCTCTCAGGCGTTATGACACGCCCTATCGATGCTCAACGGTGACGACGATGTCGAAGACCCACTACAGCGGTAGCTCCAGTGGTTTCTCGCCGAGGCAGGTGCTCGGGCTAGATACACTGCAGACCAGGGTCGGCGGTGGTTCCGGGGCTTCTCGCCGAGGTCGGTGCTCGGGCGGGAAACTGCAGCCCAGGATCAGCGGTTGCTCTGTGCGCTGCTCGCCGAGTCAGGTGCTCCGGCGAGAACTGCCGTCCAGGACCAGCGGTTGCTCCGTGAGCAGCTCACCGAGTCAGGTGCTCCGGCGAGAACCAGGGACAGCGGTACTTCCTTCCGCTGCTCGCCAAGTCAGGTGCTCGGGCGGGAGCCTGGAGCGAGAGCCAGTCTGAACTTCCGCAGCCCTTGTCCCCTCGAACGCCACGCCCCGGCTCTCACATTCCTCACTCGCCCTGCGCCCTCTTCTTTTTTCTCCTCTTCCCCCTCATTCCAGCATGTTAAATTACCTATTCAAGACAACTTCTTTCTCTTCCTCTTTTCTTCATCTTGTTATTCTTGACAATAGCCCCCAATTTTTTGAGTTTTCGCTCCGCGAAAACTGTCGTCCTCACTAGCACCATACACTTCACTGTACAAGACAACACTTCCCTGCACGACACAGCACTTCACGGCACATCTTGGCACTTCCCTTCACTGCACAACCCTTCACTTCACGGCACACCATGTCACTGCACGGCATATTTAAATCCACAGTGGCACCACTAGACTTGCCTACACTAACACGCATATCTTTCTTCGTGAGTGACCGTCACACTTCACTATCACCCCACATCAGCCATGAAACAATAATACTAGGTATGTGTCCGCACGGAGTTTCCTCTGTGGGATACTGGTTTTATAGGTCCTACAATGTCCACTGCGACTCTTTGAAGAAGTTGCTCAATAATAGGCTTAGTCCTCAAAGGTACCTTCGAGACCAAACCTTTTGGTGTGGTTCTCTGACAAGTGTCACAAGATCGCACAAACCTTTTAATGTCACTTTGCATGCACGGCCAAAAAAAACTCTTCAGCGACCCTGCTAGTTGTCTTTCTTACTCCCTGATGGCCAGCCATAATTGTGTCATGTGCCAAGTCTAGAACAGCCCCTCGTAAACTCACCGGCACTGCTTACTGTCTCTTTTCTCCTCTCTTATAGGTCTTGACTATTCTGTACAACAGTCCTGAAAGCTTCTCAAACTTATGCATGACCCGACTCCTCTTACAATAGATCCATTTGCCCTGAATCTCAAAACACCGTCGCAGCGTACTGTCCGATTCCTGCATTCGCCCCATTTCTGCTGCAGTTATGTCCATGGCTGCTACTCAGTTGTTCTACTTGATGCCCTCCTTTTCCTTTTCACTCTTGTTCCTCGTAGCTTTCTCCACGGCATAGGCGGAATCTTTCCTGGTATGCTGATCAACACATCTCTCGCCACTTTTATCCATAACCTTATGAGGTTCGAACTCCGTACCCTCAGCGCACGTTGTAGTAGGCGATCTCCAGAGGGGATCCGGATCGTCAACTCCTCTGATCCCTGGCATATTACCGAGAATTACGCCGTAAAGAGGGTCTTTGACACATCGGGCTTGAATCCAACCGCAGTTGTATGGCGACAAAATCAGTACCCTAGAAACTGGCATCCGCCGTACTGTTCCATCAGCCAACCAAACCGGCTTTGCTGTACCCGTAATATCCGTTTCTGGCACCATGGATTCTCTTACAAGTACAATGTTGGAGCTCGTGTCTTGAAGTACCGAAACTTTACGTCCGTGCAACATCCCCACGACCACTGGCATAGCATCTTCTGCTTCTCCCGCCTTGACAGAAGTCGTAACAGCACTTGTCTTATCTTTGTCCGCCTGGTCACGTTGTTTTTCCCTGTCAGCATCAGTAGAGCTTTTATCTGCAACCATGCAAGCCATTTTATTTCCTGACCGATCACGACAGGTTTCTGTTGTGTGCCCACGCTTTCCGCACAGGTCGCATTTCGACAATGAACTGTGAGTGCGACCCGCGGCACAATTTGCTGCTCTATGCCCAATCTTGTCACAGAAGTAGCATTTGACTGCGCTCCGGCTTTGCTCTTTGTTCTCCATAGCTCCCTCATCTTGGGCTTTCCCTAGATTCCTTTGACCTTGAGCTTCCAAATAATGGTCGGCGTGTTCGGATAGCTCAGCCACCGTCTTCAAGTTCCGCTCCTTCAGGAATATTGCTACTCCCTTGTGACACGATGCCAGGAATTGTTCCGCAATCATGTTATCTCTTAGATCTTCGAATGATCTCTCTATGTTAGCCATCTCCAACCACCGATCGAAGTAATTGGAGATTCTAGCAGCGAACTGCTGGCCTGTTTCATTTTCCTGTGGTTTCGAGCTCCGGAATTTCTCTCGGAAACTCTCGGCAGTTAATCTGAAGCGTTGGAGCAGAGCCCTTTTTACCTTGTCGTAATCTAGCGCATCCGCTGCTGGCATACGGCTAAAAACAGCCAATGCATCTCCCGCAAGGCACATGCTCAATCCAGTCGCCCAATCACTCCTCTGCCAGCCTTGTCCTATCGCTATTCTCTCGAACCGCTGTATATAAGCGTCGAAGTCATCTCGCCTTTCGTCAACAGGTGCTATTAACTTACGCGGGCTCACTTTTGGTGGCTGGGGTACCATCTCTGACCTATCTGGTACTTCCACACTAGTGCTTACGTGCAACTGCAATTTTTTTTTCATTGAGCTCCTTTTCCAGCATTAAGTTTTTATAAGTTCGCTCATCAGCGGCTTTCGCTCTCTCTTCGGCGGCTTTTGCTCGCTCTTCATCTTCTTTCGCGGCCTCTCGTGCCTCTGCACGCTCTTCACGTAATCTTTTCTGTTCCTCATGATAGAGAGTCATTATAGCCTCAGCCGATAATCCCACAGCACTACCGACTGCCATCAAGCGTTCCAGATCCATCTCACGGCTCCCGACAGACCTAGGCGTGTGACAAAGTTACATGGATGCTGGCAGGCTCGCCATTGTCACGAATATATGCTGAGGCATGGTTCGCTCGTCGGGCGTTGCGAAATGAACCATAGAGGCTGATGGTACGAAACGAAAATTATCACTTCATTACAATGACAATCTGAAAGATGAAACAACAACACAAACACGCACGCGTTGAAAAAGACAGAAAAGGAGATGTCTTAATGACGCGCGTTTCAACGTTCGATTCCGTTGGCATTCTCTAAGTCTCGCGCTTACAGTTGTGGCGTGGCCTCTGGTCCGCTGGGAGTCCCTCTCAGGCGTGATGACACGCCCTATTGATGCTCAACGGTGACGACGATGCCGCAGACCCACTACAGCGGTAGCTCCAGTGGTTTCTCGCCGAGGCAGGTGCTCGGGCTGGATACACTGCAGCCCAGGATCGGCGGTGGTTCCGGGGCTGCTCGCCGAGGTCGGTGCTCGGGCGGGAAACTGCAGCCCAGGATCAGCGGTTGCTCTGCGCGCTGCTCGCCGAGTCAGGTGCTCAAGCGAGAACTGCCGTTCAGGATCAGATGTTGCTCCGTGAGCTGCTCACCGAGTCAGGTGCTCGGGCGAGAACCAGGGACAGCGGTACTTCCTTGTGCTGCTCGCCGAGTCAGGTGCTCGGGCGGGAGCCTGGAGCGAGACCAAGTCCGAACGTCTGCAGCCCTTGTCCCCTCGAGCGCCACGTCCCGGCTCTCATGTTCCTCACTCACCCGGCGCCCTATTCTTTCTCCTCCTCTTCCCCCTCATTCCAGCATGTTAAATTGCCTATTCAAGACAACTTCTTTCTCTTCCTCTTTTCTTCATCTTGTCATTCTTGACACGGGCCCAGTACGATCATTGGAGAAAACCACAAAGAAGCACTTACACTAAGCCCGTCATCGTGCATCGCATTTGCTCCTACTTAGATACGAAGAGCTCATGCCAGTATGAACGAATGGGGCTACTGTAGCTCGTGTTATCTGGGAGTGTCCTACAATAATTTGCAAAAACTGGACGCGGCTTCGACTGAGGACGTTTGGGCGCGTTGGCGGCATCACCACGTTCAGCCCTGAATAGGAGCATCAACTCTAAGCGATCAAGCATTGACGTGAAATCCGCTGAGAGGCACTGCCTTCGACTGGCTTTTTGTCGAAAACCCTGCTCGTCAAAGTGCACGAACTGAGTAAGGTTATACCCTCACAGGTTGTTAATACGTTATGTAGCAAGCTTTATGATGGCGATTCCTAAGGCTTGTTATTTTTATTTTTTTGTGCAGCGCTTCTAGGAGGCACAGTAATACAAGTCCTCACTGTTTGGGCAGCAGCAGTTGCCGGTGGTATCCTGCTCAGCACCACTTTCATAGCATCTTCCTTCGTCAACGGAACAGCCTTCCTCACAGCTGTACTTGGTGTTATAGGAGGTAAGTTGAGCCTGCATTGTCAGACGTAGTGCATGAACACAAGAGAAAAGGGTGACCTGATTGTGGTTCTTATTTGCGAAATTCTAAAGTAAACTTATCTTAGCCCAGTATTCGGAATATCTTAATTAAGCATATAGGTTCATCTTCAACCCTGAATAATGCTTCGCTTCTGAATTTCAATGATTGTGGGTTGCAATTCGTCCCTTACTTGCTAAGCAAGACAATGGCATCAGCAGTAGAGAATTACAGAAGTATACCACCTTTGTTTTCAGGGGCGAAGCTTCGTAAGGTGTCGGTCGTTTCCTCCTCTGCCATATGTATGTAGCCAGCTCTAGTTTATGAATTGCTCAATAGATGGCATTGCGCGTATATGTCCTTCGAAATAATTTCACTACAAGGCGTCAGTGGTTTTCGTATAGTTGACGAACGGATGGACGAACAGACAGACAAACGGACTGATGGACTGACAATCATGTCATTACTATCGTGGCTACTACCCGTATAAGAGGCAGCCAGTTTATGTTAGCGCCCATCCTTTCTTTGTACCTCTTACTGTTCTAAACCCTTCTTAATGTGCAAGCACAAGTGTTGCGCCATGTATACTGAGGTCACAACAGTGGCGACAATGATGGGATTGCCGTCGAACTGAACCACCTATATCGGGAGTCCTACAGATCTTCTGGGTGGAAGACGGCGGCATGGCTCCACAAAGGTGGTTCGAACCATTCGTCGAAGACGAATACGAAGACTGAGACGTACGTCGAGCGCTTTGAACACTACCTACAAGCTGCAGAGCTGAGCGTTTAGCTGAACGTTTCTCCTTTTGTAATGGCCATTGTAAAAAAAGCATATCAAACGCTGAAGAACCTGCTTCACCCAGAAAAACCGGATAACAGCAATTATCCAGAAATTGTTAAGGCTCCGAGATGGTTGTCACGGAACGGTTCCGGTGTAACCACAGATACAAGAAAATAAGCCCGTGGAAGCATTTGTGATGAAACTGAAAAAGCTGGTCACGTCTTGCGAATTCGATGATTTTTCAGCTGTGGCTTTACGAGACTGTTTCGTTGTTTGATTAAGAGATCAGGGGACACAAGAAGAATTGTCGAAAAGGAGTAAGCTCTCATTTGTCGACGCGTGTGAAGTTGCGAAGAGTATTGATCTGGCCTGCGCAGAAATAAAGATCATCTAGCCATCTAGGGATACAGAAAACGTGGTAAAGCGGCGTTTTCCAAGTGAAAAGTCCGAATTAAATGCCTATGAAGAAAAAAAAAACAGTGGCAAAGAATGCATGCGTAAGCCCGGAACACAGTGCAGAAGACTGTTTCCGATGCGGACAAAACCAGGCCACCAGCGATTGCCCATTTCGGAATTACTGGTGCCGTGCTTCTCACCGATTGGGTCATCTGAGTAGGTGTCGCCAAACGTCAAGGGCAATACAGAATGTGAAAGACAGCCCCGAATGTACGGAAGCTCGCGATGAGAGTGATGTTCTGGTTTATAACATGTTTTCTTGTGTGAATAGAACTCATAGTTGCATGGCGACCGTTAAAGTGACCAGGAAAAATGTACAAAATGCAAATTGATTTTGAGGCGTCCGTTTCTGTCGTGACAAGCAGTGATTATAGGAATTGCTGGCCTGACTTGCCTCTGGATCCACGCATCTTGGGCTTGTGGGCGGTGGGAAACTTGTGATGGTGTTCATCTAAAATATTTCAGGTCAGTGTGAAGTGTTGGTTTAGCATCACAGCCAGAAAGTGAACCTACCTAATGTGGTAGTACGAACAACACGAAAATTCGAAATTGTTGTAGCTGGGTCAAGATTGGCTGGAGGCGTGAAAGCTAGACTGCATGAAAGTGCGTGATAGAAGTCTAAATAAATTGGCTACACTAATTGAAAAGTTTTCTGAAGTGTTCGAGCCAGCACTGGTTTTAATAAATGGCAATCCGTTAAAGCTGGTCTTGAAACAGGGTATGGTACCTATTTTCTGCAAGACCCGTACAGAGGCTTTCGCCTTGCGAGGTGCTGTTGCGCAAAAGTTACACTCCTTAGTGGAAAACGGAGTGCTAGTTCTTGTTCAGCGGAGCAGTTGGTCAACGACACTGGTAGTAGTTTCGAAACCGATTGGCGAGGTCCAACGGGACGGTGAATCTTCGGCTGCGGACTGACCATTACCCTCTACCCATAATGAAAGACATCTTGGTAACCTTGCATGGATGTAAATACTTCACAGTATTGGATCTCTCTACAGCTTGTCAGTAACTAATGCTACATAGGACTGTTCGAGTTCACGTGACTATCGCACAGAATTACCAGTGCCCCAGCAATTTTTGAAGCAATCATGGATGAAGTGCTCAAGGGTTTGGATAGTGTCATGCTATCTCGAAGACGTCATTATAGCAGGGCAAACACTGGTAGAATGTTACAAGAAAGTGAAATGCCTAGTAGTAAGGTTTAAAGATCGAAGAATAACTCCGCCACGGTGTGTCTAGTGATTAAAGCACTCGAATGCTAACCCACAGGTCGCGGGATCGAATTCCGGCTTCGGCGGCTGCATTTTCAATGGATGCGATAATGATATAGGCCCGTGTGCTCAGATTTGGATGCTCGCTAAAGAACCTCAGGTGGTCAAAATTTTCTGACCTCTTGACTACGGCGCCTCTCATAATCATATAGTGGTTTTGGGACGTTAAACCCCACATATCAAATGATAAAAGATCGAAGAATCAAACCACAGAAAGAAAAGTGCAAGTTTTGGGGAGATCAGTAACCAGAAAAAGCAGGCAACTAAGGAAGCACCAACACCTGAAAACAGGCAAAGGTTCCAATTCATCCTCGGGCTGATAAATTTTTATGGCAAGTTTGTTCCAAACAAGTCAAAACAGAGGCCCTGTATCACCTCGTAAGCAAGAAAGCTAAATGGAAATGAACGGCTGCAACAAGGCCATTTATGGTGGCCTGGCTTAACTCAAGGCATCAATAAAACGCTTACTGCCTGCTTCACTTGTCAATGACACAAAATTCAGCATCTAGAGTACCACTGTTATTTTGCGGATAGCCTGCACGCAGGTGGCAGCGATTACATTTCTACTTTGCCTATCGGGATCAATAGTGGTTTGTGTTGGTGGACGCTCATTCGAAGCACCCGAAAGCTTTTGCTATGAAGACAAGTAACAGTGAAAAGATAATAAAAAAAGCTGTTCATTGCTTGCTGTCTATGGTTTTCTTGAAGAAATGGTAACAGACAATAGTCCCCAGTTTACTTCGGCCTGCTTTGAGATCTTCTTGAAACGAAATGGAATTCACCATACAAAGACGCCTCCCTACCAACCTGCCTTGAATGGCACTACTGAGCGTTGCGTGCAAACATTAAAGTGACACCTCACAAAACAAGTTTTAGAGGAAAAACAAACTGGTGAACCGTAGTCACTCCACCATCGTATTGGTCAATTCATCTTCACGTGCAGGAATGCGCCGACTGGAACAAAAGGGGAAACACCAGCCCTGCTGTTTCTATGTCGCGGAAGCCTCGGACATGACTAAGCCTTCTTCACGCCGAACTTGAACAACGAATGCGAGAGACGTTAGACAGGAGGAATGATACGGCAAACGAAACCCGAGAAAATTGGCGAGAATTTGTTGAAAGATAGCCTCTTTTTGTGAATGGCTCAAGGCCGGGTCAGATAAAATGGCTGGAAGCAATCGTGCTCGGGCGCGTCAGTATTTCCATCTGTTTGGTCCATACGGGAAGCGAAGAGTGGTATGTTCATGCAGACAACTTATGACTTCGCAGTATACTGAAGAAGTCGACGCCTGATATTTGGCTGACTGAAGCCTACAACAAAGTAGACACAGCACCTTTAGTGGTACCGCACGGGTCCTAGATGTGATGGACGCAGGCCTCGGGGACTTCCGATCAGCGTCTGCGTCAGAAATGGTCCAGCGAAGCTCCGGGCAACAGGAGGTGCCTTTTTTGCCCATCCAGGAACCAGCGCAGGAAGCCGGAACAGCTTTTCCACGCGGCTAGGCTCCACTACCATTGCGTCGCAGTAATCGACTGAGGTGACCTCGAGATTATGACGTTCCGTAGCGCTCTGTGAACTCTCGCATAAAGAGGAAGGAAGGTTGTTTCCGTGTGTGATCGTCAGAGCGTGTGCGTAAGTGCAGCGCATAGCGGGTGACGGAGCACACGCAATGACGTCTGTGACTGGACTGACTGGCTATCGTGCTTAGTGCCCGTATAAAAGGTAGCCGGCCTCTATTAACGCCCAATATTTCTCTGTACACGTTGCTGTTAATGTGCAAGTCCAAGTGTAGCCCCACGTCTGCGAGGTCACAACTGTATCCCTTAAGCAGACAATCAGAACACCATGTAATGATAACTAAAACAAACTTGCAGGGGCTTCTATGCATTCCCCGAAGACGATTCAAAGGTGCAATCCAATTCGCTCTACTTTTTTCAAACGGTGTATCGATCGTACCCCGCCCCATTCTAATTGCTTCCTGCAGCTAACGTGGTCCAGTGCGGCCTCCAGGATTGTAGACATTGCGAAAATTCTGCAGCCGAGCTCGTTTCAAACTGCCTCCGTTGTCGGCGCAACTTTGACCAAGTGGTGATGGCATGCGATCGCGGGATCATGTGATGTCAAGTTATGTAACGTCATGATGACGTCATAAATTTTGGGCAATACATTGCGGCACGACGACGTCTTAGGGGGCGTGATAAAGTGATGATGGAGTTTGGCATCGCTCTGGACGTCCATTGAACTCGTAGTTTTGGGCTCAAAGCGGAGGATCTATCATGGTGGTTACTAGTTGAACATTTCGAATAAATTAAACTTTGACAAGGCATGGGACCTGGCGAATTTTCGTGCTCTAATTAACTGTGCGGTCTTCCTATTTCTTATGACATTTAATATGTTATTTCTTGTTACATCGCATGCTGCGTGGCGCTTACCAAATTTCTTTTACATACTCATAGTTTCAGCTCTTTATTTGA